AAGTTAAACAGCTTTGTCTCAACCTGCTGAATACCCAGCAGGCTCATTTAGAAAAGCCGCTGATGTTAAGCCGACATGCTTTAATGACTGCAGAGATTGTTGGTTTCACAAAATGCATGAAAGCTACTGTGCCAATCAATCGTGTTTACAACAGGACAGTGGTGGTTAACTCACCACACAATAGAGTTTTCTGGCTATTTGTCAAGAATTTCTCATTTTTAATTCTGCTAAGCTTACAAAGAGATCCGTGTTCTGTTGTGCAAAGAGCACGTTTTTAAGATCCGAAGCATAAAACACGGCAGCACAACAAATACCAGCAGCTAAAGAACAAGTCATGTGTTAGAAGTGAGTCATCAGAAGAGATTTTAAAGAGGATACTGAGTTTGGCTGATGAGTTTTACAGCTGAGAGATCCAAACAGCAAAGACCTGACACATGTTAGTTGGACTCTGCTGCAGGGTTTCAGACCGTGATAAGGCTTATCAGAAGTCAGCAGATCACTGATGTAGGCAGGATCCTGACATCTGAAGGCCTTCAGATACTCTTAAAATACTGTAAAGTCAAGGTTAGATCTACACGGTAGTGGTTTAATCACCAGCTATTCAGTTATTTGGTAACACTTTTGATAATCAAACGATTTTTAAAGATAAATTGGTCATAAGTCATGTCTTTTTTTACCCCTCTGTGGCTGTAAACGGAATATTTCTGGGTCGTGACCAAAACGTTTGTCATCTTGGAAGCCCTTAAAAGACATTTATGGACGTATCAACTGATGGATTAATCAACAAAATACTCATCCAGCTCAACTCAAGGTTCACTTGCTTTTTCAGATGCTTTAAACTGTCTTCGCCACCAGATAACAAGCTCCGGTCTTTGATTAAGGCTGTGAGACGTGTTTGAAAAACTGGCAAACATCAAGTGAACCTCCAATGCAGCTAAATCACCTTGAAATCCTTTCTCCGTGTTCGTATGCTGCATGAAAGCCTGGCCGACATGTGCAGCGGTTTGTAGGGATGAGTCCTGGTTTCTCTGTGTGCAGACGCCCAACTCACACTGAGAGCTGTATCAATATTCAGATGGAGGATTAGACGCTCCGTTTTTCTCTGCAAAGGAGGTTGTAGATGCATACAGAGAGACGGAATGACAATACACAGCTGAATTCACATTTGCAGATTCCTGCTGAAGTGTCAAACAGCATCGTGTTGGGTTTGTTTATTCAGTGGGAAGCTGCTGGAGACGCCATCCAGCTCCCAGTAGCTCACACATCTGGGTGGATGTACAGTACGGGTTCAGTGTTCAGTGACAGAAACATTTATCTGGTTTTGCATTTTGTCCATATTTTGGTTAAGAGGCCTCATTAATACAGTGCTTGTTTTAACAGTGTTGATGCGTATGTTTGCAAGAAAAGGAAAAAGCTTCATTTTTTCATTGTTTTCCTGCTATTTTACTCAATATTATCTGTAATTTATCAAAACAGAGTAAATCTGCAACAGTAAATTGTTTAAAAAAATGACAGGTGACACTATGAATCATTATTTATACATAGTGTAGGGATCCGCTCTGTGTTGGTAATACAGAGACTGTTTTGGTTTTTACTGTCAACGTGTAAATTCATGGTTTTTTCTGTGACTTTACTAGACATCAGTTGTAATTTAGCAACAGAGAGAATCTGTAACACAACAGTTTATTTTATTATTTACCATTTTTCATCCTTCACAGATGATTTTTTCCCCTTTCAAAGCAAACTATTTGTAAAATAATGGCATTATTCGCTGATTTAAAAACAGTGGAAAATGTCATTTTATAATCATCTCTTTAACCAGTTTGATTTATTTATTTATTTAAAATTAATATTATTATTTTACTGTCAATATGCAAGTTTACAACTTACTGGATGTGACCTGCAATTTAACAAAACTGTGAAAATCTGTCAAATTAAAGGAAAAATGTATTTTAGCATTATTATTATTTATTTGTTTATTTTTAAATCCCTAATATAAGTAATTTCTGATAGCAATCAGTGTAAATATCTGTAATATATATACATGCTAATTTAAATACAGTAAAAACTTCATCATGATTTTACAGTCAAACTCTATAAAACAATTCAATGCATTGACAGTATAAAAACTACAGATCTTTTACATTGGCATTATATATATAAGGTGGCTGTGGGTCAGGTGGTAGAACGGGTTGTCCTCCAATCACAAGGTTGGCGGTTCGATCCCCTCCACAGTGGAAGTGTCCTTGAGCAAGACACTGAAGCTGAAGTTGGCAGGCAGCACCTTGCATGGCAGCTCTGTCCTCATTGGTGTGTGAATGAGAAACACATTGTAAAGCGCTTTGGATAAAAGCGCTCTATAGACCATTTCCCATATATCATTTTGGGCTGGTTTTTTCTGTATTTTTTTTCCTCCATAATATCTGTAATTTAACAAAACACGGAAGATCTGTAAAATAAGAGCGACTTGTTCGTAACATTCCAGTTAGAAACAGTTAAAGGCGCTCGTTAGTTTCTAGTGTGGAGATATGCAGCATACTTCTGCAAGTCACCGCTCTCCTGTGCTGCTCACTTCCTCGCTGCTCCCTCCCTCCTCGTCTTTTTGGCTGCTGCTGCAGTCTGTTGGCTCACTGTGGACTTTCATAGCGCTCTATATCAGCAGCAGAGACAGTAAGGGAGGGAACGAGGGATGACAGAAGAATACTGATGACAATAACGGCAGCCAAGCAGCGACAGTTAGCGCACATACGTCACTCGGCTTTTGTCGTCTCGGACAGATGGACCTAAAGAGTGCAAATTGAGAGGAAGGAGAGCGCAGAGGGAACATGGCTGGAGTTGTTGTGTTGCTCAGCGGGTAGAAAACATAGATTAAACTGCTGTCAGTCTCCATGGAGGCCTGGTTTCTCCCACAGTAAACACGCATGTCCCCAAAGACCCTGGATAGTGAAAATCATGGTTTTTACCGTGTTAACACGTCCTTATGGTGTTTTTTATACACTGGAAGACAATTCAGGAGTAAAATAAACAGACAACACCACGTCTGGACTTTTTATTACCTTGATGGCCCCAAAAACACAGATTCAGACTTCCAGGGTTTCATCCACAACGAGCCTAAAGAACCAACCTGTCAACTTTTTGTATCATTATTCATCAAACGTATATAAGTTAATTACTCCAATATCACAACTTGTCATTGTGTAGTCGTAGGAGTTGTAGGTGAGCTGGTGTGCTCGAGCTGCAGCGAGTGGAGCCAGAGTCGGGGACTAGAGTCGTATCTGAGACATTTTAAGGCGAGACTGGATTGTTTTAATGGAAAAAACTTCAAACTTTGATACACAGAGATGAGTTTTTATGGGTTTAATCAACAACTGGAGACACTTTAAAGGTTCCACTTGCAGTTTTTCAGCTCAAAATACTGCAAAGATGCTTCGTTTCATCACTGTCTAACCCCAGGTTTTAGTCCTTTTTTGCTCTGAAACCAATGAGCTTCTGCTGTCTCCGCCCCCCTTTCAGGAAGAAAACACTCAGTTGAGCTGGACGACTATTGGTTAGTGAAGTGTTACAAAGCACCTGGGTTGAATTCTTACTGTCTGGTAAAACTGAGAAGCTAACTAGTTGTTTGGGATCTTGAGAAATGGCAGAAGTGAACGTTTTTATCTCTTAACTTATTTATTTTACACTTTTTAAACATAAAAAATGGATTTTCACCATATAGGAGCTTTAAAGGTGCTGTTAGGAGATATGTGTGACAACATCAGTAGTACCTGTTTACTCCAAAATAAGCTGATTTAGATTTTTGGTTATCAACAGATATGATTTATTTCGGGCTGATTCTGTAGCTGATTGCTAGTAATCAAAGAAACTCATGTATTTTTATTGAAAATTGTAAAATGTTGGTGTCAGAATTTAAGTATAAGACAAACTCCAACATGCAACTTTGTCGAAAGGCCTTTTTAAAAATGTGTCTTTTACATATGTTCAATTCAAACTAACTGTCGAGCGATTTATCTTTCAGTGTTGATCGACTGTCACTCATGACATCCAACCAATCAGATAGAACTGTGGGCGGGACATTCCTGGAGACTACAGATACAGCAACATCAGAATATAGGATTCAGTAATTGGCTAGAACTGTAAATAATGGACTCTTATTTTAACATTTTTATATTTTAAAGTCCTGAGTTGGCGACTGAAAAACATCCAAGAACTATGAAGCATTATCTAAAAAACAAAATAGAACTCTGCTGCTAAAACCCCACTGATGCGGCAAAATCACAACCATTTGTGGCCGTTTTAGCGTTTAATGTGCATCTTTTAGCACATTTCACAGATCCTGTATGTTTGAAGAAACAACGGGGGGGTGACGTGAATGTTGGTACGTAGGGGAGGAAGGAGATGAGAAGGCCGAGCAGATTGATCAGCATCTGAGGCACAGCAGATGAAAGGACGTGAAAAAACCGAGGCGACAGATCGAGGCTGGGTGGAGGGAGGAGGCTGGAGATGAAGGAGGGGAAGGAAAGCGAGGAGGGGGTATGAGCTAATGAGAAGGCCAGACTGTAGATGCTGAGAAATGGGAGGAAAAAAAATCATGCATTCATAAAAACACATGCCTACATGTGTCACACTGGCTTCACTGAGTTATTGATCCTCAGGAAGAAAAATGAGGGTCTGCAATGAGACGTCAGGTTGAATTAAAGCGACTAAAATCTCTGCCTTGCATGTGCTTGTTTCTGCCAACTCATTGTAGCCGTGGCTGTTTCTGTGTGTGTGATAATGACTGTCTTCAAGAGTAAAGTTCATTTTTCAACAGTGAACGCATCATTAGACAGAACATGATGAATGAGAGAGCGAGAGGGATCCTGGAAGATTTTGCTGAACTTTCATGATTTCTTTATGTAAATGTGATATTTTTCAGTACATTTGGCGGCAAGGCTCAGCAGAGGATTATTGTTTCTCTCACTGTGAATCTCAACGCTCTTCTGTCTCTGTGTTCCCTCCAGATTTCGGAGATCTATGTGAGCGGTGAGTCAGGTGACCTCACAGCCAAAGAGAAGCTGTTACTATGGAGCCAGCAGGCGACAGAAGGATACCCCGGCCTCCGCTGCGTCAACTTCACCTCGTCCTGGAGCGACGGACGCATGTTCAACGCTCTGCTGCACAGATACAGGTGAGAGTTTGACGTAGTTTTTTTTTGTATTTTGGAATGGATGTAAACCCAACACAGAGATGCACTCCTTTCTGTTAAGCTGACGGTATTTGAAAAAGTTGACTTGACGTCAGAATGAGCAACCTGCTCACTAAGAGGTCGGACATAAACGCATTCCCATGTGACACACGTCTAAACTGCATGCTGTCGTATTAACATTCATGCACAACCAACTTACTTTGAGTTGCGTAAATTATTTTATGAAAGATTTTGTTCCGCATTTCAGCACCGATATTGGTCCAAAAACTTCAGAGTTTCCTGCCATTATTACAAAATAGTTCAATATTACAAACATAAAGATTTATTGTGATGAAGAAAGAGTGTACAGGTCAGATTAATGAGCCTCACCAGTGATGAATATAATCAGTGATGAATATAATATAACTGACTGGAGCTGATGTTTAGTTTGTTGCTTCCAGCTGTTCAGGACTGTTTCCTCCTAGTTTGTTAAATATCTGCTGCATCCATTTGAGCGTCTTTTAAAAGAGGTGCATTTATACACGTGGAACAACAGCGTCGGTAATTTCATTATGAGCTTGTGATGATAAATCATCCCTGACATGGAGACAGGATCAGTCTGAGCCAGTATCCAATAGCAAGTTACACTGTGTGCTTTATTCCACGTCAGACAGGTGAGCTATCACAGAGTCACAATTTAGTTTGTTGCTTCCAGTTGTTTGGGACTGTTTGCTCTGATTATAAACCAGCAGGAGGCTCTTAATGAGCTTTTTAGAAACAAGATTAATGCAATTTTATTCATGTGGAACAACTGCAGTAACTTCATTCATTACTTAAGAATGTAAAATATCTCCAGCATGGAGACAGAATCGATCAGCAGGTCACACTGTGAATGTTTGTTACACTGTGGATTTAGATTTAGTCTTTTGTTTCCTCGTACATTAGAATGCATTAAAGTCACTTGATGAATATCATCCTGTGTCTCTTTCTGTCACTGTTGTGTCTGAATGCAGCCTTGAGGAACATTAATGTCAAAGTGGTTTATATCTGAATGGCAGACTACAATCATTTTAACAGACTGATGAAGCACCAATATTACATATTCCATGTCTGAAAAGGACTGAAATGTTCTAAGCCACACTTGAGACTGAGGTTGAAATGGAAAATGCTTTCAATACAGACACATTAAACTATTCAGAGCCACACAGACCCGACTGTGCTGTGTGTTCGTCTAAAATACTGGTTCAAGGATGATTGATGTCTATTCAGAAGGTTTCAATAACATTTTAATACAACTTTTCAAGGTGTTATATGCAAAAAGATATGCGTTGAGTTTTGTGTCGAAAATGTTTTAATCAGTGTTAAATTCAAAACTCAAACACCGACAAACATCAAGGATGTTTCTGTGAGTGGGTGAAGGAGAAACACGCTGTAGATTTGACCTAACCTGTATGTTTGACGTTACTGTATGAGAGCAGAACATTTACCAAATCAATAGTATTACAGACGTGTAGCAGAGATGCTGGTGTTCCCCAGACATCTGAACAACAGATTCCGACACACAAAACACACCGATGCGTCTCCTCTGTTTGGTTTTCAGGCCCGACCTGATCGACATGGAGGTGGTGTCGCGGCAGAGTAACCGTGAGAACCTTGAACAGGCCTTCGAGATCGCCGAATCATTAGGAGTGACCAGACTGCTGGACGCTGAGGGTGAGACTGTCCTTCTGAATCAATAAACTGCTTGTTCAGGGTAAAGATCTTCAGAAAGTCACCATTTTATGATACTTCTCATGTTAGTAGCTGAGCTCCTTTTGACGACTGTAGGCAGGTTTTTATCTCGTTTGTTACCAGCTTTTATTTTAGAAGCATCCCAGCAGCCCTAATGACTGACTAGTTGACACATATATATTTATGACTCTGTCTCTGCCTGTGTAGAGACTCTCTGTGGTCCTATTTTTGGTGTTTTTTCCACAGTTCCCATCGCCACAGGCCGTTCATTTTAGGAAAAGTGACACTTTCAGCTGTTGTTGACCTCTTGAGTCTTCAGAGATGAGTTTGTCAGCACAAAAAGTGGGACACTGTTGAATCTGAGGCTGATTTGGGATTATATTGTCAGTGAAGCTTTGCTATATGTTGCTTCTCCTGCTACAGAATCAGAGATGCTGCATCCATTTATTGTGTCTTTTCTCATGTCTTCTTCCTCCTCATGTTATTGTTCTTCTTAGTCTTCTTTTGGCTATAATCATGATTGTTATTATTATTATTACGTATGTTGTATGTTTGCCACATGCATTTCTTTGCAGCACACAAAGTGCAGAATCTGGATAATTTTTTTTTTAGATCTTTTATGGTTTACATGTTTTCAGTTGTTAAGACTTTCACATTTAATTCTTTGTTTTGGTTTTAATTCCCAGCCAGCTGTGATCTGGAAACCTCACAGATGATTATTTAATATATTGTGATAAACAGCCGTCTGTTGCTATACTTCCTGCAGTGTTTCATTCATCTTTTTGAATTTTCTCCTCAGACGTTGATGTTCCGTCTCCAGACGAGAAGTCGGTCATCACTTACGTCTCCTCAATCTACGATGCTTTCCCTAAAATCCCTGAAGGAGGAGAAGGCATCGCTGCACACGTACGTCACGTCGCTCTTTACTGACTCACAACCTGTAGCTTCTTACTGATGCATTTCTGTTGCTCGTGATCTCAAATGCATGTTGTCATATTACTGTGTTAGTCTGCTACAGTTGGACTGGTTTAAGGCATGTACTGGTGTTTGTAGGATTTTACTTTCTTGCTGCATTGTTCCCACTTTTCCTGTTAACTTTTAAAGAACTTTCCAGCATTAGAGTTTCCAGCATTTTCGTTTCTTCTTTCCACTGAAAGTTTCTTCCCATTTTGTTTGCTAGTCAGCTGTGCAGCTTGTTGAGTAATGAACTGGAACTTTGTGATGCCGTTAATTAAACAGCGTTCCGGTCATTTATTTGTAATTACTTTGTGTAAAACAAAGCCTGTCTGTTGCCATTTGAGGCAGTATGTGAATATCTGATGTATGGTTTCTCTTCAGAAATAGCTGATTATTATTTCTACTTGCTATTTACTTATTTCTGTCCTTCTCTCTGTTGTGCCTTCAGGAGGTGGACCAGCGCTGGTCAGAGTACCAGTCCAGGTTCACGTCTCTGCTCCAGTGGAGCCGCCAGCATACGGCCCTCATGGCCAACAAGAACTTCCCTCAGAACCCTGTGGAACTCAAGGTGAGCGCCTCACGTCACTCAGCAACTGTAGCAGTGTGGCGTCTTCTGGAAGAGTGACCAGAGCCTTATTGAAATGAACTGCAGCATGCTGACTAGTACTAGAACAGAATTTACTATTAAGTTAAGAGTTAAGAAACACAAATAACCCTCAAAAACACACCAACACTGCATATACCAGTATGGGTGTTGCATATTGCGCTATATTTATTGCACCAGGAAAAAAATACAACTATTGCGCAAGCTTGAATAAAACTTATTGCACAATAATTAATGATGCACACAAGGAGTCATTCAGTGCTTGTTGGAATTCAGTGTGGGAACAGCTACAGGCAGGCCTGCATTTCTAATTGTCTGTTTGTTAAGTATGATTGGTCATATTTTAATAACAAGCCTCATTTTGATTCACTCACATTTACCTCGTTAAAGTTAAGAGAAACTCAACACTGCCTGCAACTGTTGAAAATTAATCGCTCTCTAATGTTTCAGAGGATAGAAACCATTAATTTATTTTGTTTAATATTTGTTTTTGGCCATTGTGTGCCTTGGGGAAAACAGTAGAGCGAGACAAGAAATAAGGAGTGAAAGACCAGGAAAATGACTGTTCAGCTGTCCAGGATTTAAACCAGAGACTCGCTGCTCGTTTGGTTTGCACCCGAATCAATCAGCTATCAGGTTGCAACAAGAAGCCTGTGAGTCCAAAATGAACACTCTGGATGAGGCATTTGGGATATTTGATGCAACAGAAATTTAAAAAATAGTGCCAGTTGTGTTTTTATAACAGCTATAGGCGGCACAGAAAGGGTTAAATGGTGAGTAATTCTGAATACTAAATAAACAGAATGTGTCACCAAACACTGTGTAAATTGGTGACATACAGATGTGCTTTTTTTTAAAATCTCAGGTGTTTTAATTCAGATTTCCTCACAGCAACATGTACGTGCGACTGCTACTGGCTGTGGTGTGAATCAGATCCCAGCCTGTATGTTTTCTCAGCTTCGTCTCTTCAGTCTCACCGACGTGCAGCCTTGAGGAAAGAGAGCTGACGAGCAATTTCTGTAAAATCCTTGAGAGAACAAATAAAAAAGGCGTGGGGAGGGGAGGGTAGAGGGTTTTAATAATGTGGACACCTTCGCACAGAGGTGTTAGATGAGCAAAGAAGGGTTCAGATTAAAGGCAGGATCAGTGAATTAGTTTGCAGAAGAGGGAATAATAACGTGAGGGAGGATGCAGCAGTGAATGAAGTGATGGTTGAAGGAAGAGGAAGCAGCTAAACAGCAGATGACCGTTGAGAATCCGGCTAATGACCGCCCAGGGAGAGAGGCTGTGATTACAGAGCTTTTACCTCTGATTACAGGTATTGACTTTGAGTCTGACCTAAAACAAAGACTGTATTAACACCCAGCCTCATGTTTCTCCTCCTGCAGGCACTTTACAACGAGTACGTCCATTTTAAAGAGACAGAGATCCCTGCGAAGGAGGTCGAGAAAGGTCACATCGAGCACCTCTACAAGCTGCTGGAGGTAGGAAGAGCGTTGAGGCGGAGGAAGAGGTGGCCGACGTTTAGCTCCAGCTCATTGTGCATCATGAGGCTGAGCTCGGGGGGGATCCTGACAGTGAGGGGATGATAAAGTTTAGCTGCAGAGCTCAGTCATACATTTGCCTCCTGAAGCCGTCGTGTTGTTATCAATGCAGCGGATTGTTTGATTGAACACAAACACATGACGGCTGATAATAGATCCCATTTATTCTCACTCAGCTGATGCTAGCAGAGCGTTGGACTGTGGTGTGACTTATGATCACTCAGAAATGGGATGCAAAGGAGGCTGTAATGGAGTTTATGTGATAGTTCTGTGGACGTGAACAGAAGGAAAGTGTTATTTTTGCTTTGTGCTTACTGTGGGCTCATTCTTCACTGCAATATAAAGTCCTGCAGCTCTGTGGAAGCAGCACAACCAGGACTAGAAGAAGAGAGAACTCAGAAATCTCTTGTGCAGCCTAACAAAGTTATTGTGGCATAAATAATAACAAAAGAGAAAAAGCCACATTTATTTTATAAAACTAAAAGAGGGTGTTAAAAATGGTGCCTCACATACTATAGTTATTTACATTTTTGCAACCTCTGCGTCATTTTTTTTCTACTACTCTGAACATCAGTCTTGAAAAGCTATATTATTGTGCTGAATATATCTTCCAGCAACTTTCAGACAACTTGCTGCTCTGTAGACTTGTTTTTGAGCCATGCCACATTTATTTTATTGATTAAATATGCTTTATTTTTCTCCAAAATTTTCCAATTTGTTTTCTTTTTTGTCTCCTCTCTGCTGTGTTTAGACACAGCCTGCAGTTCAGTCGAATATTTGCTAGATTTTTGTCATGTGACTCAGTTGATACAGCTGAGATTTATTTATTTATTTTACAGAAAATTGTTTATTTTTGGCCAGTTTTTGAATGAATCATGGCAAAAAAAAAAAAAAAAGTGATCTGGTGAAATATTATGGGGTTACATTTAGTTCAGTATCTCGACACAATGGCATCTCACACGGGATATGTTCAAAGACCGTCCTAAAGTTGGAAATTCAGCAATTTTTTTCAGTTTTTACAGTTTCTGGCTCTGCTAAGTGATGCCATTTTGGGGATTAAAAAAAAGCAAAAATTATTTCAGCCCTGCCGGTGGGTTTTATGCGTCAGTGGGTTTATTATATATTTACCCGGTGTGTGTGTGTTTGTGTGTTTGTGTGTTCAGGTGTGGATCGAGTTCGGTCGTATTAAGCTTCCTCAGGGCCTCCATCCCAACGACCTGGAGGAGGAATGGGGCAAACTCATCCTGGAGATGCTGGAGAGAGAAAAGGCTCTCCGGCCGGCCGTGGAGAGGTACCGACACACACATCCAAAATAATTACATTAAAAGCGCTGATGCATCTCCTCGCATTCAATTTCTCATCAGGTTCGATTTTCGGGGACATGAATGTTTAACCTCTGTCTGTGTTTTCAGGTTAGAGCTGCTGCTTCAGAGAGCCAATAAGATCCAGAACATGGCTCTGGACTGTGAGGAGAAACTGACCCTGGCCAAGAACACACTGCAGGCCGTGAGTACCCAACCTCCCTCATGTTCCAGCCTTTTCATTTCCTCTCTCACACATGCAGGGTTCTGGGCTTTAAGTCTGGTCAGTGTGCAATAATTTGGCGTAGCATTTTACAACGTGTTAATGTGTAGAAACGGAAAACACGAGTGGCCTTCTGGGACAATAAATATTTACTCACCACTTTCCCAGCTCTCTGCAAACACTCTCTCTTGCCTTTGCCTGCACGCAAACAGTCCAGCATGTGACCAAAAATCTAAACATTTTCATCGATCACACCATTTTATCTGACATTTAGCAGGTCTGTCTGCTAAGTGGGACGTTTGTCAATACAGTGTAGGAAGGCAAATATCCCACTTGTGGATCTATAACTGCACAAGCCTTAAAATCCAAAATAAATCAGCTAAAATAATTTTAAAAAAATAGCTAAAATCATAAATGTAGGAAGGAAATATATATATAACTCTCCATACACATTTAGACAAAACTGATTAAAAATATTACAAAACAAACACACACAAATATCTCACTGGAATGAATTATATAATAGACCCCAGGATCAACTTAGAGCACCAACATAATTATCAGTTAATACACTGAAGCAGGGCTAGTTAGATGAATATGCTTGAGAAAATGCTGCTAGTAATTGAAACATTTATATTTAGATAAAACCACTCAGTTTCAACTGAGTTAAAACTAGCATTAGAACGAGTTATTTCCCTCTTTTCAAGCTCATTTTTGGTCACATTTGTTGTTGCGCTGCAGTAACTGAGTGGAGACTAGAAGCTTCTCTGTGCACAGCATTAGTTCATGCATGAGAAGCATTCAGGGGACGCTGGTAAATTGTAGCTTCAGAAAACAGCCTTGATTACACTTTTCCCTTCTGAGCTGCATGAGTCTTTGCATGCACATTGGTCTCGCTGCAGCACCCACCACCACAAGTACCTTCTAAACCTTTGGGAAACACAGAGATAAGATAAAAGGAGTGCATCCTAAGCACGGCCGAGAGCAGAGCTTTTGCTGCAGGAGCATCAGCGTTATGAAATAAAACATTAAAAAGCACAAAATTGCCAAAAAGCTCAAAGAAGCAGAGCAGCTCGCCTCCCTACAGCGTTTCTGCACCAGACAGCAGCAAACCGAAGCATTTTTGAGTCAGAAACGACAATAAAGTTTAACATAATGGAGCCACCTTTCATTAGCTTCAAGCCCCAGAACATCCTTATAAATAAGAAAAATTAAAAAAAACATTAAAATGCATCTTTATTCCAGTTTCATTCATTTACGTAATGTGTTAAGACATAACCAGAGTGTACGTGAACGGACATTAAGGACTTAACTTATGTTAGTTTTTGTTCCAGTTTCTGTTTTTTCAACGTCTAACTGCTGCTTTGTGTCCTCATTTTGATGTATTTGTTTCTGCTACATTAATCCCCCTAGTTTTTGCTGCTGCCTGCTTTATTCACAAAGCCTACTCCAGTTTCACCGCACTGTTTGCTGAATCTGCGCCCGGGGAAACACTAAACCTCAGGACAACATCATCCTCCATAATAACACATAAGCAAGCAAATAAACAAAACAAAACCCCCGCCAAACTCGTCTTTCCTCTGATGTGCAGGACATGTCTCGAGTGGAGAGCGGCGAGGCGGTGCAGTGTGAGAAAGAACTGGCCTGTTACCTGCAGGACTGCGAGTCTCTGATCAGACAACTCAACCAGGAGCTCAAAGTCCTCCGAGACGAGAAGTACTACCAGGTGGAGCAGCTGGTGTTCAGGTGAGTCAGGAGGGAAAGTGTGGTGGCGCTGGGGAAGCTTCTGCAGAGGGGCGTGTTTGTTTTTCTCACAGAAAGTACATGTGTGGATGTAGCTTAGCCTGAGTGAAGGGTTTGTTGAAGTAGTCACCGTATAAATAAATAGACAGTTTAATAACTAGCAATACAAACAGCTCATTATGCTTTATTGTAGGTCAACAGTTGGCATCGTGTTTTTCCATTAAACCCCGTTATTATCTGCTGCTGGTGTTGACAGACTGTATAAAGGTGCTCTGATATGAATCAGTGGCGTCGCAGAATGATGGAGAGCGTGGCGTCTCATCAGCATGCTGCTCCATTAGTTTTGGACCGCCGCTATGAAACTTAATGAAACAGCCATTTTGAAAGATTGCCATTTTGTGCTGGCCTTTAATGCAACGATAATCTGCACTGGAACAGGAACCCACTTTTCAAGATAATTAAATGTTCCAGGAAATTTGCCCCTCCAACCTCACAGTTAGCCTTTTAATTCTGCTGTAATTTAAACCTCCAGGACGGTTATTAAAACGGTAAGTCGGTCGATTTAAAGGTCTCGTATTCTGCCGCTGTTTGGCAAATTAAGGAAAATGCATCAAATTTTCAGCTCATAGTACGACAAAGATGATTAATTTCACTGTGACTTCAGCTTTAAATGAACCTGAGCTGCTGCTGTCAACACCCCCTTCAGGAAGAAAACTCTCTGTGGTTGGCACATGAATGAGTGTGTGACAGCAAGACTTTCTTTCACTTGTAACTTTCTCTTTGAGCAATCATTTTACAGAGAAATATCTTTGAATTCACCCCACAGCCGTTGTTTTAAACTCGTGTTTGTTGAGTTTGTCAGACGATGTTATAAAATCAGTAGTTTAGCTGCAGAGTAACGACTGGGACATGGCTCTGAAGTTACTGCTGGTTAACATTTCAGTCGCTGTTTCATACTCATTCTGTTGTCTGACAACAAAAACAGAAAACTATGTAAAGGAGAACAGCTTTATTGGGAATTCAGCTGTATAGAAATAAAGTTTATGTGAGCACAGAGAACAGGAGAGGAGCTAATAGAAGTAAACAACATGAAAACACAGAAGCCAGTTTTTGTTTATGAGTTTTAAATTAAAGTTTCCACCATCACTGAATGTTCGTCAGTGTTATAGTTTCCAGAGTTTTGACTTGTTGCCATACAAATAAAGCTGATGTTAGCCTCACAACATGCTAACGCTAAGGATTTTCCTTTTGTTGTGATGCATCTCCATCAACAATAAAAGTAATCCACTGACTTTTCAGTACCTCAGATGCTGGGAGTGCATGATTACTCTTGTGTTCACTCTTGCAGCCAAAATTTGGTGAGTTTTGATGGAGACATTTTAGCAGGAGCATCTATACAAAATAAATAAACTGGTGGACTGGGAGGTGGCTGCTCATTGTGGAGCTGGAAGCAGTGAGGGAGTTATACAAAGTTTGAGCGGTATGGTTATTAGTTCCTCAGTTTCTACGTAGAAAATGGAGAAAATTCTTACTGGTGTGTAAAGCTGGGAGACTACAGACTTAAAGTAAACGTCTTCATATCTTAGCAGCTTTAGTTTTACACCTATAAGTTTATAGCAACCACAAAACACAATGTGAACAGATTTTTACCATATGGGACCTTTAAAAATGTGCATGACTTTATAGCAGGAAGATCAGTGCTGGTAGAAGGTAGCTAACTGTGTTTTTGTCTGATCCACAGAGTGTCCTGCCTTCAGGAGGAGCTGGTCTCCCTCCGGCTGCAGTGCTCCAGCGTCTACAGAAAAGGCCACTTCTCTCAGTCTCTGGGCAGCACACTGACCGATCACAGCACCCAGAGGTCCACCGACAGCGGCCTGTCGCTGGGACAGACGTTGCTGGGAGCTGTGGGAGCTGTGGGAGCCGTCGGGGCTGCGCTCCTGCGGCGGCCAATGGCTCGCTCGCAGCTGGTGGCCATGTCGTCATCAGAGGACGAAGGAAGCCTGAGGTTCATCTACGAGCTGCTGGGATGGGTGGAGGAGACACAGGTCAGTGCCTGTCATTTAAATACAGGCTAAAACTTGTTTTTTTTATAGATTACTGTGCCGATTACATTCTCAAATTTAACAATAAAATGTCTCAGCATCCTCTAATGTCTTGGTTTTTTTTAAGCAATTGTCCAAACCCAAAGATATTCAGTTTGTGATTGAAAAAAATATATGTGGAAAAGCTGGAAATCCACATTGAGAAGATTTAGCTTTTGATTTGTCTAAATATTTAATGTGAAGTCATGAAGTGGTTCTTACCTTAATAGGAATCAATGCAGAGCAAGAACACAACGGGAGTATTGACATTATTTATGATGTGTTCGAGGACAAGTTTATGCAAAAAGGGAAAGTTGGATTGTGTCCATTACAAATAAATAATCATCATTTGTCTGTTCGGTCGACTGGGAAGAGGAGGACACACCCCAGTCTTTAGAGTCTATGAAGTCTTGTTTTCTATTTTGTAATGCTTTTTATTTTGTTTTTATTTATTCTAATGTGCTTATTTAAAGTATTTATTATCGCCTTTTGTTCAGATTGTGTCTTGCAGAAGTCCATTTAGGTTCTTGCCTTATACAAAAATCTTAAAATTAAGGAAGAACACAATAGGAAAGTGCAATCAGGGGGAAATGAAATAAATTTAACCTGTTTGTTAGAAAACATGAAGCAGCAGCAGATTAATTAGCGATAATATTTCGTTTACAGCTTGAAAACAACACATTCGACTGAAACTGAGTCCTAAAAACATTACTTATGAATCAAAAAGGAGTTTCAGTTGGATAAAAACAGATAATCTTTTATTTATTGAGCCCGATGTTCGTCTTTTTGTGTGTTTGTAGGAGCTGTTGGAGCGGGCTGAGTGGGGCGCAGACCTGCCTTCAGTAGAAAACAACCTCAAAGAGCACAACAGCATCCACACTGCAGTGGAGGAGCTGATGAGCGGCCTGCAGGAGGCTCAGAGCTACGAGGTACATGCATCACTTCATTAGAAACACGGAGATCTTTCTGCTGAGAGCTGCTGTTTGTGATGAAGCTTTACTTTCTCTCCTTCAGGCTAAAGTCACTCCCAACTTCAAGAGCAGTTACTGTGAAACCCTGGCCAAGCTGGAGCACCAGTACTGCAAGCTACGGGTCGGTCTGAGCTCAGGAACCGTGTGTCTTTATGCTCCTTTGTTTCCCAGTTCACCCCTTTTCCCTCAGTTAATCCCATTACAGTGTGACTGAGCTATCATGCAAATGAAACCAATGTGCATCTGCTCTCTTCTGCTACTGTCCCTAAATGTACCCCCTTTGTGTCTTTTTATTTCTTTGTCTGCTCTCTGTGCGACTGCTGTCTCATACTATGTGCGTCTCCAGTAAACATGGATCAGATATTTACCCTCTGGGTTCTACAAATTTTGAAGGATGTGCATGTAGAAGATGCACTTAGAAATGATCGGTTTGAGTGTTAATGTCCACATGAGCCTTAAAGAAATGGATATAAGGAAATGTATAGAAGAACAAATAAAGCACTCTATTTTGAGGGAGAAAGCTTATTTTATTGGAAGTACATGATATATGATCCAAAAGGTATAAGTATGTATTTAAGTAGCTTTTTGAGAATGCTGCATGCTTTCTTTGATATGCTTCACGCTGGACATTGGTGCCTCTTAAATGGTTATTTTATATTGTTATTATAAGAAATCAACTATAAAATGTCCATAGTTTACATTCAGAGGACATTTCTGTTTCTGTGTTTTTTTTTAGGAACGTTTACATCCACAGTGTTTGTTTTCATTATTCACAATCTCTGTAAATGCACTAAAACCAGCAGAACAATAACCAGGAAGTGACCAGAGAATAACAGGATGCGTTGTTTTGTCTTTTTATTTCTCTCTGCGCTGCTGATCAGCATGACGATAGTGTTTGTTTGTTTATTTGTGTGGTTGCCGTAGGAACATTCGTCATGGCGCCTGCGGAGCCTGGAGAGCCTGCACGCGTTCGTGTCGCACTGCACTGAGGAGCTGATCTGGCTCAACGAGAGGGAGGAGGAGGAGATCGCCTTCGACTGGAGCGACAGCAACACCAACATGAACGCCAAGAGAGAATTATACAGCGTGAGTGGAGGAAGTGGACCGAGCAGATGCACCGGTGGCTTATTCTGTCACAAAACACAAACTACACACCTCTGATGTTTCACAACACAACAGATTTCCACGTATATCAGAGTATTGTTTACACGCACCCAAACACCGGTACATGCACCCCGTCCTGTCGCCATCTTCATCCTCTTGCTGTTGTGTTTTCAGGAGATGAGGTTGGAGCTGGATGAGAAGCGAGATGTGATGAGGTCTCTGCAGGAAACAGCCAGCCGACTGTGTCAGGAGAACCATCCAGCCAAACAGACGGTGGAGGTGAACGCTCAGATTTATTCAGTTGACCTTTAAACATGTCGGGTTTTGTCTCAAACCAGTGCTCCTTGATTCACTTTGCATTTCATGATATTTAGTTTTGCTGGGTTTTTAAAATATCCAGAGATGCAGAGAGCTTCTTGTCTGAGTAACTGTGTGCATCTAATAGAAACATTTAGTGAAACCTACTTAATGTAAAACACATCAATGCCAACATTTGGAAGTTGGGATTTTTTTCTTCGTGTCTGATGTTGATGCTGTTTGTCCTCCATCACTGCTCAGTTGAAAATTGTCCGCATATTTTAATAATCAGCGAGGTGACATTCTGTATATTTATGTCAACATGAGTGTTCTACTACTGAGACTGTGGACCCACAAAAAAAATGATTTGATGGAAAATGTATTTAGATTTTAATAAACCAACAATCAGACTTTTATTTTGAAATGCAACAGTATTGAGAAGACATTTAAAAATATGAGTAGGGAAACAGCAGCCGTATTACCGTAATGTATGTAATGCACATTTTGGAGCAGCATATTAATAAAGTTAATGGAAACAGCAAACTTTAAAAACATATCATCTAAATGTATCTACAAAGCTGATTTTTGATGTTTTTGCTAAACATTTAATATGCTTCTGGGGAGATGAAGACATGTTAGAATGAGTTCTGACGTAGCAAACAGTTACCTCACATGACAGATGAGCTGTTTCTTTTTTCTTTCATCTCCAAACAGCTTGAAACGTGTCTGATACCAGCTGACATGAAAGAATAATTACGACTTTCTCACTTTCTACAATAATTCTCTTGAAAACAATTCCTATTGAATCTATTTTCCTCTCGAAGATAAACAAAACTTTGCTTGTGCCTTCCTTAATATTCTTTTTTTAGCAGCTTCTTCTACTCTGTTTATTAAAGCCATGTAGCCTATAGTGCCACCTTCTGATTAAACTACTCAGCCAAGTTTATTTACTCCAAAGCAGAACATTTAAAAAAAAAAAAAATTCTGTTTGCTTAAAAAGGGTATGTAAACAAGCCGAATATTGTCAACATTTCTGTTGATTTAAGCCTTTGTTTAGTCGTAGCTCCTTGAACCTTGGTGTCCAGTATCATGAATTTGTCTGAATAAAGCCACGAGGAACATTAATGTAAAAGTGAACTATGTCTGAATGACATTAAGACAAATATGTGAAGCCAGCAATGTAACATATCTCATGTCTGAATATTATTATATGTAATTATATAAATGTGGCGTCTCACAAACTGTCTGTATGTTTTCAGGCTTACAGTGCAGCTCTGCAGACTCAGTGGCAGTGGGTGGACCAGCTGTGTGTCTGCGTCGAGCAACATCTCAAAGACAACACTGCATACTTCCAGGTGACACTGACACTCCTGTAAAGTTTGTACTACTTTTATTTTAATTATACGCCTGTTTCTGACTCAGTAAGTGAATGCCACCCATCCATTAACCTGAGATTTTTAATAGTCTTTTTGTAGATGACTTGGAGAAAAATAACAAAAGTATGTTCGCTGTCGTCTTCACATTCTTCTAAAATGTTGCCTCCATCTTTTCTCAGTTCATGAGTGACGCCCGGGACTGTGAGTCATATCTCCGCCAGCTCCAGGAAACCATCAAGAGACAGTACACCTGCGACAAGAACAGCAGACTGAGCAAACTGGAAGACCTGCTGCAGGACTCCATGGTATGTGTGCTTCTGTTTTCTGTCTCAGACGAAGACGTTGATGTTGTTCTTTGCCCTCTATGGGGCAACTCTGGCAAGAAGCGGTTCACAAATTCTCTCCATCTAAACATATATGCTGACTATATTACAGCATCTTTTTATTCATGTTAACGCTCAGATGAATCTGAAGGTGTTTTACTTTACATACAGAGGTTAGAAGGGCGAGCCATTGATTTTGGTGGCGCCATCATATTGACAGACAATAGTCGTCTCCATTTTAGCACAGTCAGACCTTTAAATCCTTCTCTCAAGGTATGGGATTTGTATGTACATATATATATATATAAATAAATTCCACTACTAGTTTATATTTTTATAAGTGAAATATCCAAAATTGAGCTCTTCTCTCCAACTCATTATCTGTAACAAGTCACAAGCAAAACATGAAATCCAAGTTGTGATCAGAACGGTCAGAAACTGCGCCTATAAGATTAAAAACTGACCTCATGCAGCGATACTCTGCTCCCAGCGCTCCTGCAACAGTTTAGCACTGTCCTGTTGAGTAAACATGTCAAACACCGTCTGCAGTAAATCTTCTATACTGTCAAAACGGCCGCCCTTCAGCTTGAATTCTACTTTGAGGAAGAGGAAGAAGACGCAGGGAGCCGAATCTAACAAGTAGGGCAGGTGTAAAGCTACAATTGTGTTGTTGTGGACAACAATCCAATGCATAGTCTCCATGCTGTGAGCAGCTGCACAGCACTTCAGGTCATAATGTTCTCCCTCAGACACCTCAGGACTTGAAGGTAAAACTCTGCTTTGACAATCTGAGTCTGGGGGAATAATTCCATGTGAATGTTGAAGAGAACAACATGAATTCTTCTGGGACCTGCAGCTCTTACACTGTAAGAATTGCAGGGTTGTTGTTTTTTTCTGGTGGAAGCTGCAGACCCTCCTCTGGTCACCAGTGATGATCCTCCACATGAAGGTTGGATCATCCAGCTGCTGACTGACACAGAATGTGATGTTCGCTCCAGAAAACACAAAAACATCTGTAGCACAGGTTCTGATGTTGGTAGCACAGTGTCACACAGTCTTCTTACTTGTGACAGCTACTGGGTACCTGGATACACCTGTGTAATGGACCCAGTCAGCCATCAGACAGTTCCACTGCTCATTCAACAAGCTTCTTTGTACGTTTAGATGGAAATGATTGCGTAACACACGAGTTATGGGCCTTGTTTGTGGCTTTTTCCTCTGATCCTCTGGAAACAACAGGCTTTATGTCTTTCTCCCCCAGGACTCATTCAGAGGCAGTCAAAGGGTCGGTTTTATGTTGTTTGTTGCCCACATTATCGTCGACATGTGGCTTAATTTCATGGGTTTTCATGTTGGTATGTTTCCTTGGGGGTGATCATTTGATTTGATTTGCATGCACAGACTGTGTTTTTATCTTCTCTTTCTATCTGGAGTGTCAGAACAAGAGACTAATATGTACGCAAATGTTAGGGAAACAATAACACCCCCTGTGAGTCGTTAGGACCCACATAAATATACTCAGATAAATGATGACTACACAGATTACACGAGTGAAACACAAACCTTCTAGACTCCCATGTGTTGCACCCATGTGACTGTAGCGTGCAGCTCCGACGCTCTCTGAACTTTTCTAATGAGACGTGTAGGGTAATGTATGTTTATCACAGCTCGCTGGGTGTTTCTTCATGTTTGTGTGCACCATCCACACCTAAACATCACACGTTCAGTATACTCCTGGACTTCAACAGGATAGCACGTCTGTTTCTGACCTTCCACCGGAGCAGCAGCAGCAGCCGAGGTGCTAACAAACCAGCGTCCTCCCGACTGTAGCGCTCGGCCTCAGGCAGCTGCAATGACGGGGTGAAGTCATCTGTTAGAGTTCCTTCGCTGAATCATCCCCCCTGTGGCACATTTACCAGGCTGTCATCTTCACGCCTACTTCACACACACATATCTACGCAAACACACACACGTATACACACCTCCGACTCGGAGCAGATGGCAGAGTTAATGTGGTCTCGGCTCCACAGGCCGAAGCAGCCAAAATATCCTCCCAGTAAAAAGGTGTGTTTGAGAGTCACAAACAGATGCTGTCCTTCTCAGAGGCCTGTGTGTACTCGGCGTTGTTGTATGTGTAACGTTACGTTCACATGCCATCCACTGTGTGTTCGTCGGGCGGCGTGTGTGTGAAGTTGTTTCCAGCTGCAGTTAATGAAGTTTCCAGTTGTTTCATGTCTGGCTGGGAGAGGCTCCGAATGCCACAACAGAAAACACACCGCTGAACCTGAACCGAGCCTTTTGTTGGACTCTGATAATAGCTGAGAAAATGATGTTTAATCACCTTATTCACCGCATTCAAAACAAAGATAAGTGTTGAGCAGTGGCTGTTTGATCAGACCTCACCCTCCTCTTTGATTTATGTCTTTGTCCGCTTGGACTGCGACCAGTTTCTTTGTGTACTGATGTTTAATAACTTCTTCACATGTGGTTAGAATTCATAAACGCTTGCTGAATCTGCAGAAAGAGAAATCATATCTTTGTGATTTATTTGCTACATGGACACTAAATGCAGTGGTTAGCTCGACACACCTAAAAAACATCCACACCGTTAAAAGTGAATCTTGTCTTCACCAGTTTTTAATTAATCATTTTGACAAATTGCTGTTATTTGACAGAATTTCCAAGTTTTATTAAATTGGGGGGAAAAAAATATTCATTTACATGTTGACCCTAAAAAAACAGGCCAAACTGCAAATATTGTCCACATAAAGACATCGCCTTTTGCAAATGTGAATTTATTGTTTTACAACATTTGACTGTAAATGACACTTTTATAGATATTTGCTGATGCCATGATTTAAAATCACTTTTTTGTTTTTTACAGTTTTTTTTTACTGTATATAAATCAGCAAAAATATTTTGTACACATATTTGCCATTATTAAATGGAAAAATATGTTTCTAAATCACTTTTTTAACTGTTATTTTATAGCTTTACCCTGTTTTATCACATACAATATCTGATAAAACCACAAAAAAAATATTAATCTGCAGGCTTAAATTGTGTCATAATGTCTGTATTAAAAATGTTTATTTTAACAAATAGTAATTTGTTCTTTTAGTATGTGCAACTATAAAATCACAGTTTTTCTGTATTTAAATCAGCTAAATATATCTTTATTTTTGCTGTTTTAGCAGTTTTTCAATGTTTCAATATTTCAGTTTTTTAAAACATATTTCTTCTGGCTCCCTTCCTGCCAGATTTGAACAGTTTTTCTTTTTCTTTTTTTCACACTGCCGGACTTTTTCGTAAAGCAGGGCCTCTCTTATAATCTAATTGCTGTTATGGAATTCTTTGTTGTGGTAATAATGAATTAGAATTCCTCATGTGGCCACATTTTAATTCATGTGAGCATAAATTGTGTTGACTTGTTGTGGTGCCATCTCCGTGTGAAATTCGTCTCGTCAGTGAAATGTACAAAGTTAATCACGCAGCGCCACCTTCAGCCTCCTTCTGTCCGTCTCCGCCTGTATCCGACTCTCTGTCCATTTATCTCCTTCTTTCTGAACCTCCATCTGTCCTCCTGTTGTGTCCCTACAATGAATCCTTAATGACTCCGTCTGCTCGGGGCCAGACTCCGATGAAATGTAATTCTACCTGTCAGGGTGAAGAGCACCTCGGTTAAATGTTTAATGGTTGGTGGCCAAGAAAACACAAGCAGCTGAGTCAGGAAACACTCTGTCCACATTTGACAGGCTAACAGGCTAGTTATATACCACAGGCATAGAAAAGATTACCTCCACGTTAAAAAGTGGTCACACCTATTAGTAACAGCCAGCAGGGGGCGACTCTTATAATCTGTGAGAAAATGACCCTAATTCTCACTTGATTTGTTGCCTCAGCAAACATTTTACTCATCACTTTATGGTTTCAATTGCTAGTTTAGAGACTTTTTGAATACAACATGATGGGTTTTTTGGTAAATTTCCATTTAGAGGGAAATGGACGATAAAGTTTGGTATAATTTCGATGAGACTTCTTAAAGCTTCAGAACCAATGGGTGATGTCCACCTTTTACATACGCTTTATGATTTCAGGCTTTAACTCGGAACTGCTGACCAAATGCAGTTTAGCTGAAATAATAACTTAAAGAAAGATCTGCAGTAATAAGTATGTTCACATTGTTGGTTTTCTGTGGCGCCACCATGAGGTTGATGTTTGTAATTTATGAGTGAAAAGCCTATTATTTTTTTTTTTCCTTTTGCTAGATTGTTATATAAATTGTTACCGTCTTTTATACCCTGTTGGGGAAAGTTGCCATGACTCGTATTACCTTAAGTAAGAAAACAAACATGGTCATTGGTCAGTTGAGTATTGTATACAATATAGAGAAGAGTTTATCATTGCAGTGACACAAACTCTTTTCTTTGGGCTTTCTATAAAAATGGTTATGAGTTTAAACCTTGTGGTCCAGCTTTCCATGCCATATAGACCTCTAAGTCCTACATTCCTTCTGCAGAACAGCTTCCTACAAATGAGATCCGAAGAAGGAGAACGACACAAAAAGCTCCACCCTTCAAGTTGACAGAATTGGTGCTTTAGGTTTGTTATAGGTTGCTGCACTGCGGTTTCAAGGTGGAAATTCTTAACCGTGGAGATTAATTTACTCCTGATGTGTCTGACAGGATGAGATAAGATAAACTTTATTTATCGCTCACAAGGGAAATTTACATGTTACAGCAGCTGGATAAAAATGAGGCATGGAAGAAGCAAGACAAGAAATACTAAAGTACAGTCAGGCTAAAAATAAAGATCTAGGAATGATAGAGAAAAGACCTGGTGGAAGCATGTGGCATGTAAATGTATTGTGTAGCATAATAAAAAGAAAACCCATGTAGACATGTTATGGCCATAAAAAACTCAATTCCCACTGGATGGGTTCTCAGCTTGGTACACGTGACCAACTGGAGCTTGAAGTGATTGACAGTTTGAACGATTTTGTGCTTCCTGCAGGAGGAGAAGGAGCAGCTGATCGAGTACCGCAGCACGGTGGCGAGCCTGGTGGGCCGGGCCAAGACGGTGGTGCAGCTCCGCCCTCGCAGCGCCGACTTCAGCCTGGCAGCCACGACGCCCATCAGAGCCATCTGCGACTACCGGCAGATCGAGGTACAGCACCACCACAGACCCATGAGCACGTGTGTCCCGCGCATGTCGGCAAATAAAACCCAGAAAATCTGAGATAAGAGAAAAATGAGCCAGCCATGCTTTAAATATGTGTACATATATATATATATATTGTGTTTCAACCCTCACCACCAGCCGCCTCCTCCCTGCCCTGCACTTCCTCACCAAGCCCCTCCACTTGGTAACTGTTCTATTTTAGCCCTTTCTTCTTCCACGCCGTGAAACTTAGTTTGTTTCAGTTTTAAATCGATGAAAAAGCCTCTCCTCAGTCGCTCCTTTCCTCAGCCTCGGTGGTCCGCGATGATGAATCGACTACAGCAGTGGATTTCTTTTCTTGGCAAGTTAGCTGGCAAGTAGCAGCAGTCAATTTGGAAGCTGACTAAGCATAATGATTGCGGTCCAGAATGTACAATAGATGATTCTTTTCCTTTGTTCTCTTAAGAAAAAGTCCAGAAACAGTGAAAAGATACTCGGAAGTAAAGATTGGTGTGCGGAGGACTGAGGCTGCACATCCAGCTGACTCTCTCAGGCCCAGCTGCCGCCTCCTCAGGGAGTCTAAAAGCCAATCAATTATACATCTGTCCCATCCTCGGAGTTAAAACACCAGCAGCCTGGCATGGACACACAGCTGCCCTCTAATGCTGCTATATTTAGTGCGCTGGGTCAGTTTGCTCATCAAAGCGTAGTGAATGTGAGGGCTTGTATCCAGGTGAAGCAGGAAGGTGGTTTGGACACTCGCCTCATCGCAAAAAAAAAGAAAAGGAGTTAAAATATAGATGAAATCTGCCTCAGAGCTGAAAGTTACACTGAAACGTAGCAGTGCTGATTTTCACCAAACTCAACAGTAATCTTTCTCTCCTTCACTTTCCTGTGTCTTCTCCTGTCTCTCCAAACCCTCCTTACCTTTTCTCCCCTCTCACTCCCTCGTCTTCCTCGTTCTCTTCCCTCCCTCTCGTCTGTCGGCTGGCAAGACAAACGTTCAGGTATAGCTGCCTATATTCTCCCTCTCTCACCTCTGATTCTTACACTGCACACACTGTACTGCCGCGGTTGCCGCTTTCTTATCAGCTGATTTCAGGTTTTGTAATTGGCGTTACAATGGAAGGTGCAGCCAATCTGATTCCTGCCCTGATAGATTTCTTGGAATGAGATGAGTTGGGAAATTGTGTATGAATTAGTTCTGAGTACGATACATTTATTGGATTTTCCACCCTGAAGCAAAAGTCAGAAATGGAAAATGGAGTTTAATTGTTCTGTCTGCAAATAGAGTTTGGTTTCGTCTGTTTATTTTGTATTTTTACCGACAGACAAATCACGTTTTGTGTTTTAAATGTGCAAAGTGTCTTACTGACACCAGAGAGCACCATTCTGAGGACAGTAACCCCTTTCAGACATGTACACACATCTTTATTTAAACATACAAAATGTGATAACATGAGATTGGACTGTACATCAAGTGATGCATGATACAAAATAATGTGCTAATAAGCAAAAATAAATAAATCAAGACTAACAGCAGCCTCATCAAACTGTCCTAATACATTTCTGATTTCCTAACACTAATAATTCTGTCCATGTGTGAGGATGATCTAACTACTACTAATAATGAACATCCTGACAGCTGTGGCGGAGCTCCAACGTGACGACCACAGCTGTACAACTAATGATTTAACTGCAGCTGATAAACTGATGAAATATAGGTGAAGAATACACAGTGTGATAAACCAGAGCTGTACAGTTTGTAGAAGATATCCAAATACGATTTTACTGACAAATATCAGTTTGATTTGTGTTTTTTATTTTTTTAAACCAAGCTTCAGTTCAGTATTCACTCTGTTATAGATTTAAAACGTATAATGCAGTGTTAATACATGAGATACCATCAAAAACGTCACACAGAGACGACGGCATGTCATTTAAATCCTGAGTCAGACATGCTGCATAATCTATAAATTGCAGCCTTTGCTAATTGCATTGTTTAATATTGTGATTTGAAGTTGATTTAGTTCACATCTACTCTTTCTCCATGTCGAGAATTATTTCAAAACTAATAAATTAGGTCACTGCTGTGCTCTTTTCTGAGATGCACACATGGATCCTGCTGCTTTCTGATGCTGCAGATGTTTAATAAACTCAGAGGAAATAATCCTCAACAGCTGGAGGCGACAAACTAAACTTCAACTCCTGTTAGTCAAAACCCAGATTACATCCATTGTTGGTGACTCTCATTTCAGACACAGATAACTGGTGGTCGTGCGCATCCATCCGCTAATTCAACAGCATGAAGTTTAGACTTCTGCTATGTTAAAAGCGATACAGAAATGTCACTAGACGCCAGGACTTGTACAAAAAACGACTAGGCTAGTTTAGTCAGATTTACAGAAGGACGTGCATGTCTGAAAGGGGCTACTGACAGTTTTAAAGCAATAGGGTGCTCTTCAGACACAGTAGATTTAAAACCATTTTGCATCTCTGTGTGTCCGTTTATTCTCCTGTTGCACATCTCGATAGTTTTGCACAAACGTGAGGATAAAATCAACCTGCAGCTGCATCATGTTAGTTTCTGGTCTGAGATCAGTTGATGAGGGCGGGTGGCAATCACTGAACTGAACTGATGCGTCCTGCCTCTCAGGCTCATTCAGTCAGTCAGAAAATAGCCAGTTTCAATATACATTTCATGTACTTTACTGTATGTGCACAGCTTTGCATTATTGATGTGTGTGTGTGCAGGGAAGGGGTGAGAGAGGGTGGTGGGTGGGGGAGGCAGTACAGCTCTAGATGTTTCTGTGCAGCTCTAAAACTAAACTCTCCAGCTTCTGAAGCCAAACTCTTTGTTTTTTGTTTTTATAAAATCCTGCGCTGGGTTTCTCGAAGGCTCAGTGGTGTTGAATGAAACCCAGCTCAGGTGTGAGTAACGTTCACTTTGAGTTTGGACAATGTTTGCTGCTTTCACAGTAAAAGCTTCAGCGGTGCAAAGCAGCTTTCACACCACATGGCATCGTTCCTGTCAGCTTCTCTAATATCATGTCATTGTAGGGCTCCTGCTAACCTCATGAAGTCCATGAACGTTTGCATTTTCTGTTGCATTATGAGTTTTTCTTATTATCTTTTCGTTTACATGTTTGTTTGTTTTTTTCCTTCTCTCCTCTCTGACGTCACCTCTCTCGCTTTCTTCTTCCTCCATCCATCCCATCTCCGAACTCATCTTTCTTTTATGACTCCCTGATGTTCAAACCTTCTTCTTGTCTTTCTCTCCTTCTGTCCATCTCATTCGTCATCCTGATCCGTCTCTCCGTTCCTTCCTTCATCCTCCATTTGTGCTCCATCCATCCTTCCCTCGCACCGTCTCTGTTCATCCTCCTCCTCCTCCTCTCAGATCACGATCAGTCGAGGAGAGGAGTGTGTGCTGGAGGACAACTCTCAGCGGACCAAGTGGAAGGTGATCAGTCCGACGGGGAACGAGGCCATGGTTCCCTCGGTGTGTTTCAGCGTCCCTCCTCCCAACCAGGAGGCCATCGACACGGCCGGCAGGTCAGAGACAGACTGAAACCTTAACGTGGACTCTTTAATGAGTGCTGTCGTTGGTAGTAGAGGTCATACTGTGGATGTCTTCTAACAGTGAAAGGCATTTTTATACTTGCAATATGCAGATACCACAGATTTACAGGATTATTGATATTTTTCACACAAAAAAGTGACTTGAATTTGTAGATTTAACTTTGTTTACCAGTAAATAAAACAAGTCTGTTCTTTCAGTATATCTGAACCTTTAGAGACTCTAATCATTTAAAATAAACACATTTATACAAGTTTCTATTTATTTTTCGCTTTTTATTTTTGGTTAATCTTTTAAATAAACATTCAACACATCAAAATAACTTCAAACTAACCTGATTATTAATCCTGATTAAAAGCCTTTAAACCTGTAGTGTGGAACTCTTGTCTCCCCCTTCTGGCAGTGAGAGTAATTACACAAACACTGTTGATTCCTGGTTGTGACGTATGTCAGTCGCTTTCGGTTTTAGAGTGTAATCCTTCCTGTGAATGCTGAGTTTCGTTTTTATCTGGAGCATCAGCAACTTTTTTTGGATGCCTCCCATGTTTTTCCCACATTAACTTCACTGTTCTCCTACTTGCTGCAGCTGCTCAGTATTTTTTGCCACAGTTGAATCATTTGGGAGAAAAGTCGCCACAGACACCAGATTTAAAACTCCTGTTTACAGTGAAATACGCAGAGAGCTGCACTTTAGCTTTACCCTCGATGCTTATGTTTGCTCGGTAATGTCTGGATTCTTATTAATGTTCTTTGTGTTTACAGGACAGAGCAGTTGTACCAGAAGGTCATGTCTCTGTGGCATCAGCTCCACGTCAACATGAAGAGTGTGGTGTCGTGGCATTACCTGCTCAAAGACATCAGGACTGTATCCGGATGGAGCCTGGACACGGTGAGATGATCTGTTTAAATGTGAGGCAGCTGGTACATTAAATGTGAAGTATGTGCGTCATTTTAACGCTGAGAAAGTGATTTATTGTTACTCTCTGTTTTGGTCAACTGTTGTTGCTGATCTCCTTCCTCTCTGCCTCGCCCGTCAGGTTCGTTGTCAGTCTCCGTCAGAGCGACAACACGTCCTGGATCACCTGGAGACCCAGCTGGCCGACTTTCTGTCAGACAGCAAGGAGAGCTCTCTGTTCACGACAGTCGAAAGACGAGAGCTGGAGAAGGACGTTCAGCAGGCCCAGCAGCACTGCCAGGACCTGCTGCTCAACATGGAGACCGGTGAGGCAGATTGGACCAACACATGCGTGCACTCACTGACTTTTAATCCCGAACGCTGTACCTCTGCAGAAATGAATCTGTGTCCAGTGTGTACCAGCATTTTGGCCTGTTAAAATGGTACTCAGAAATAGGCCAGCGCCCTGTCTTGCAGTTTTAGCGATATCTGTTTGACAGCGTAGCAACAAACAGTTGGTCAGAGCGTTACTGTAAAGGTCTAAAATAACCCTCCTCTCTTCCCGTCTTTTTTCTTTCTCCGTTCAGTGGAGAAGGACGAGTCGGTGTCTCGGTCGTACCTGTCCGAGCTGCAGAACGTCACCCTTCGTCTGAACGAGGCCGAGCAGAGGCTGATGAGGGGGATTGAGACTCCGCCCCCCAGCCGGCTGTCAGGTGACAGCACTGACAACGCCGTCCGGATAGCCGAGCAAGAGGTCAGTTTGAGCTCCACCTGCTGGTTGTACAGAACCATAACGCCTTTCATTGAGTTAATATTTACATCAGTTGGTATTTTTGACACATTGCAGTAAATTTTTACGCAGCATTACTTTTTTACATTGTTGTGATGTGTTTCAAGAGCTAAACAATTTTCATGCCTTCATAGTTTTCAGAAAACAATTTCATGCACATATTGATCCTAGATGTCATCATGGATGTTACAACAGTATAATTTAAGTTTACTTTAACAGATGTGAGAGTTTATGCAGATATTTGTGTTTACTTCACTCTTGTAAGTGCAGTTTGAGACAAAAGAGCTATGATGTTATTAAATAAGCTGCATAAGAAAATCGAGGGTTGTATCAGTTTTTTTAGGGAGAGTACATTAAAGTTGGGGTAAGCAATTCCTGAAAAGATTTGCAGATATTAGAAGAGGTAGCCTGCAGCTAAGAATGATCTTGCTGCACTCGTTATGAGTCTGGTACAGGACAGACAAAACACGCTTGGTTCTTGGTGCTTCTGCAAACCAACTACCGTCATCATGGACAGTCTAAGCACGTTGTAGCAAAGATGCTCCTACAATAAAGTGATGGATGAACCTGTTGTAGTGCAGTTTTTGCATGCAGGGAGGTGAGCACTGTAAACAAAATGAATCACTGAATCACTAGAAGGTTGTTGCTTGGAGGCTGTCGATGGTGTTTCCTGCAGCGAAGAAGATTTAGAAGATGGTAACATGCAGACAGTAAAAGAAGAAGACAAAGCTGTGTGAAATTAAAGACTTATACGTGAAGTGTACATCTGGTCGGTCAGACTAGCATTTAGGAGCTACAGTCCTCTTGTTATACCAGCTAAAGTTGGGACAAACTGTACAAACTGCTGCTACCAAAACCCACCCACTACAAAAAAATAAGAGAAAGCAGAGTCTTGAATTCATCCTATCGTCCAAAAAAAGTGTAGAGATTCATAAAACTGTTGTACGAGCATCAACGCTGCCTGTTGCTGTTTGGCTGGTAAAATGTTCGGTCCAAATCACTTGTATTATCCCATTTACAGAGCCAGAGCTTCATCACCGTACATACATACATACAGAACAGAGACACTGAGGCTGACAGAAAGTGTTTTAGATTAGCGTGGCTTATCAACCTTTAATTAACCTGCCTGTCCGTGGTTAAAGCAACAAGCATACCGTTTGGTCACTGATGCCATTTTGCTCTCCTTTTATCTAACTAAAATCCTGTTCTTGTCCAGAAGCTGCAGTCGGAGCTGGACGCTCTGCGCTCCAGTGTCGGTGATGTGTCTCGTCGCTGCGTCAGTTTTTTCGAGGAGAAGCCGACGTCCTCCAGCGTTCCTGCCCTCCGATCTGAGCTCAGCCTGGCTGTGGAGAAGATGGATAAACTGCACAACCTCTCGTCTGTCTACCTCAAAAAGTTAGTGAGCTGCAGGGAGCTGCTCTGTTTGTTGGTTACGTCTGAAATATTCAAGAAGGTTTCACTCACAAAATATGTGCAATTCACCTCTGCAGGCTGAAGACAGTAGACGTCCTGATTCACAGCCTGGATGAAGCAGAAAGTCAAGTCAGGAAGTACGAGAGCAAACTAAGTGAAGAAGACATCGTTCCTGCCGACACAACAGCCATTCAAAACCTCAGAGATCAACTCGGGGTAAAACACACACTGTCAGGTAGAATCCTCTCACATCCAGCTGAAGAAACAAACTCTAACCTTTGGGCTTTCTGTTTGTTCTCCTTGCAGAAGTGGCAGGCGGAGCTCTCTGAGCAGGAGGGCATCTTCCAGTCGCTGCAGGCCGAGGTGGGTCGGGCCAAAGAGGCGGGTTCTCAGCTCAGCAGGCTCCATCCAGACCGAAGCCCCGAGCTGGAGCGCTACCAGGAGAAAGCCAATCAGATGGCGGAGAGGTGGAGCGGAATCAAAAGACAGATGGAGACACGGTGAGCAGCACAGAAACATAGAGGAGTAGAAAATAGATTTGGTGAACAGGAGGAGGATTAATAAGTTTAATTAACTTGGTGAGGAGGAGTGTTGTGAGGTTTCGTAGCTGATTCTGTGCTCTGATTGTTTAGTGAAACGTATCATGACAGAACATGTAGTCGTTTACTGTGTGGCTTCAAAACACTTGAGATTAAATAAACTTCACACATTACAGCAGCTATATACATAACAATAAATAAAGATATAATGAAGACTCTGTAGATCTTATGCATGTACAAATATGATACACACAGTGTGTAGAACTGTACTTAAAGGCTATAAAGAGTAACTTTATAAATGTGTTATTGCAAAGAAAACCAGTGTTTCTTTATAGTACTGCACTTGACGAGCTATAAAGAGAAGAGTGTTACATTATATATGCAGTGTTTAATCATATGTAGTGTTTCCTATTAATTACCGAGGCTGTAGTGCCGTGTCACAGTTTCATAATGAACCAAAATTCAGAAATCTCACACAACACACATATTTAGAGTGCCACTGCTCAGAATAATAACTCTAAACACTCAGAAACTATAGAGTTCTGACAATTTATCATAGTTGATGAAGCTAACAAAGAACAGGACGGTTTTCAAGCAGCACTTTGCCATAGATGTCTTCACCACGACTGGGAGTTTATGCTTTAGCTGTGTACAGTTTTTATCAGGCAGAACTCTGCATAGCAGCATCTCTGCTCTGGTCTAATGAGACCTTGTGGTGATGTTACATAAACTGACTCAGACGTGAACACGACAAGCAACATTTAGGCAAATGTTATACTGAAGTTCAGCTCCATCTACACACTTTATAGCTGATTACAGTCACATGATCACCTCTGTCTGCGTGATCTTCACTGTGGCTGCAGCTACGTGAAGCGAACTTAACTCTCAAACTCTTGCAACAGAAAGAAAGTGGCTCATTTCCCACCACAAAGGTGCACTGAGCTACATGAAATCCAATCTAATTCAGTAGGAAACAGATTTATGTTTGTGTTGTTTATGTTCTAAAAGTCTTTCTCTGTTTCCCTGCAGACGGTCTGATCTGGAAGGTCTGGGCTCGGCACTGCAGCAGTACAGAGACGGACACTCTGCTCTGATTAAATGGATCGAAGAGACGACGGAGAGACAAGAGAACACGCAACCTGGACAGAGTGACAGCAAAGCGCTGTCTGAACAACTGGCCCAGCAGACGGTCAGTAACACAGAGCTCACGGACTTCTGTCTGTAGGTTTATACGTGTAGTAGCAGGATTCAAGAGTTTTTATTCTTCACATGTTCATACAGTAAAAAGCAGTGAAATGCAAAGTGACTGTTTGACAAGGCTGTGCAATGACAACAAAACACGTTCTTTAAGAGTAAGAAAAGTCATAAATAAGGAGGAATGAAGAGATTGTGAAACTCAAGTGCAGGTTACATTATGCAGAAGTTATATTTTAACATTATGCCTGTATTTTAATGTTGGTTTTAGATCTGAAATAATTTGATAAGTGATGGAGATGATAATGCTTTATGTGTATTTTAGATATGTTAAGAGAAAATTTAAAAAGAAAAAAAGAAAAAAAACACACATTGTGATAGAATGACTTTTATAAATTCTGTTTGTTTATTCTGTTTTCAGGCATTAGTAGCTGAGATCGAACAGAACCAGACCAAACTAGACGAGTGCCAGACTCACTCCAAACAGTACTGCACCTCAGTGAAGGTAAGACGCTGCTTCACAAACACTTCTTGTGTATTTAAAGGTCGGAAACCGGGTTTTATCTTTAACAATGTGTGATATTTAAAAAGTGTTTTATATTATCCATTTTTTTGAAATCTTCATCGTATTTGCAACTAAAGCTGCCAGATGAATGTAGTGGAGTAAAGAATGCATTATTTCCCTCTGAAATACAGTCGAGTGAAAGAAGAAATTAGCATAAAATAAAAAATACAAGCATTTCAAAAATCATATTTCCTTCCATCACTTGAGTGTGAAGTTTTCCTTCCTATAATTCTCTCTCTAGCATTCTGTTTAGCATTACAAGTTTATTTCTACATCAAGTTCCTGCATGTTTTTCATTTTTTAGGACTATGAGCTGCAGCTGATGACATACAGAGCCTTTGTAGAGTCGACGCACAAATCGCCTGTCAAGAGGAGGAGGATGCACTCCTCCTCTGACGCCATCACTCAGGAGGTAAACAGATTAGACATATAATCATTACAGTAGTGATTTTTGTTGAAAGCAGTTAAACTCAGTGTTTTGTATTTTCCTGGATGTGGTAAGTGATGTCCACATTTATGTGTCTCGACAGTTTATGGACTTACGCACACGCTACACGGCCTTGGTCACCTTGACAACGCAGCATGTAAAGTACATCAGTGATGCTCTGAGAAGACTGGAGGAAGAAGAGGTGACGCTTCGTTTAACTTCAAACGACTCTTTTGCTTGGCATGATGCTCGTCTATCATTAAACACCAAAGTGTCTCACTGACAGCAGTTTGTGATGAATTTGTCTGCTGTTTCTAATGTGATGTTCTGATCATTTCTGCCTCCAACCTTTGATCTGTGCAGAAAGAGGTGGAGGAGGAGAGGCAGGCCAGGGTGGGTCAGGTGTCGGACCTCCTCGGCTGGGTCAAAGGCCTCCAGGGTCGGACTGGAGGACCCAACGCTGAGTCGTCCCTGGCTGCTCAACAGGTACATCAGCACACTGTTTCTGCTCATATTATTATGAATATTTAAAAGGTGGTGATGTTCAGGGATGGATACCCGATATTAAAAAGACCCTGGAGTTAAATGATTAAAATGCAGAAGATCAAAAGCTTCTGTTATCGGTTCTTCTCTTGGAAAAACTAAGAAATTAGATTTACTATTTATTACTGCTGCATAAACATTGTTTTGCACTTTTTATTTTACCAACTCTATGATGCAGTTTTGCTTTTTCTCGTCCAGGAATAAAAAAAAAAAATCTCTTTTGGAGGGACGGTGCACAAAGCAGAGAGGATTTAATGATTTGGCAGCTGCAGACGAACTCGATCTCGCTTTATTCTCACCATCTCTCAAACTGAATGTTGGTGTTGGCAGCAGTACACAAAGTCCTCACTTCTTTTGTCTTAAGTAAATTTATTATTACTGCACAGTAAAAAGTCCTGCATTCAATTTGTTACCTAACAGTGAAGACTGAAAGCGAGGAAATTAAAAATGAAGCAGTTCTACTTCTGTTTATGTTAGTTTTCCTCTTAAAAAAGAACGAGTAAGAGTAGTGTATAAGTGGAGATCAATAAGCAGCCTCCCTCACTGGTCGCTGTAGGTTGTACTGTATTAATTACATCGATCCTGTGTCTTCTTTAAAGGCCATCAGCGAGCAACTGGCAGCCAAGAAAGATCAGGTGGCCGAAGCTATACGGAGCACGCAGGTCTTCCTTCTGTCCAAACAGGCGGGCAAGTAAGTTAACAACACAAACATGAGCACAAACACATTAACAGGCAACACACACATGACCCGACCTGTTCCATAGAAACCAACATACATCCCACTCAAGGGAGAGAAGAGTGTCTGGTGCCCCCCTACAGAGTTTCTAGTCAGCCTCAGAGGGAAACTACCAGCATTAAAAGGATTGAACTGAGAATGTAAACTGTGTTCTATTGACTTTGCTCCTCATGCAGCGACACAGTGTGTCCTATGAACTCTGGGAAAAAAATCCCAAAAGATCTTCATTCTGGTTTGGGGAAATTGAAGCCATCATTTAAAGTTCTGTCTTTGAGCTCACATTAACCAAGAAATTGAT